AAAGATTTATACAAAAGAAAATAGTAAAAAAAATATACATTTATTAAATATGGAAAACAAACATATTGACATGTATATATAACTTCATATAATTTTTTTTATACTTTAATTGCTTGAGATGGTGTAGATTGAGTAAGGTTGGTATAATTTTGAGAATATCTTCTAATACGACCTTGCATAAGAACTGAGTCAGTACCATTGGATTTTGGTGCAAAACCCGATGGAATATTAGAATGAATGCTTGGTATCGAGGAAATTCCATTATGTGATTGTGCACCAAGAGGATTGGGTATAGAAGAATCATAATTATAACTTGATGTTAAACTTGTTAAACTTGGTGTTCTTGATCTTGACATCCTTAAACTTTGTTGAATCGCAGGGTTACTTAACGAATTAACAGAAGATGTTGGAGAACGAATAGCAGTAGGCATATTTGGTATAGAACTTGATGTTGGTAAATTTTGTGTTTTTAATTGAGCCGGAATTCTTGCAGGTGGCGTTATCGGACTACTAGGTATACTTGAGGACTTAATACTACTGGAAGGAGTATTCGGTCTTGAAGAAATAAAAATAGCTGACATGCTAGATGTTTTCGAATGAACAGTATGAACAGGCATTTTTGTAGACGACAGCACGAAAGGACTAGTAGGAGTTTTCGGGGAACTGCACGAACTGGAGGGTTTTGGACTATTAAATTTAGGCAAACTTGACAAGGTTGGAATTTTAAAAGTAAGGGCCTTGGTACATTCAGACTTCATATTTTTAACGAGTTTTAATACACGGCCCTATACACGTTCAAACTCATTATCTTTTAAAGTTTCTGAATCTTCAGAACCATCGTCTAATCCTTCCGAATCAATATCTTCACAAATTTCTTCATATGTATCTTCACAATTATCTTCGCAAATATCTTCACAAATATCTTCACAAATATTTTCACAGTCATTTTCATCACAATCAGAAACGTCTTTTTTCGCGGCAATTTCCATTTCCTTTAACGTTTTTCGTAATTTATCACGTTCTTAGTTCGACTCTTTTAAAGAAACTTCCAACTCAGCAACTTTCTTTTCTAAAATAGTATTAGCAGTTCTTAATAAAGTACTTTCTAACTCTGCCACACGTTGTTCCAATGA